AGCATGCCCAGCCAAGTGTTTCCCAAGGCGGCCGTGAGACATCCGTCTACCCCAGTGACCGCAGGGCTGAGTGCGCAGAATGGAAGCCGGTTGCCCTTGAGCACGTCCCAGCTTGACTTTGTTTTTTTAGCTTTTGATTTTGGGGACCGAGGATACTTCCCTTTCACCGCCTCCGTTACGATACGTAGACCGTGTGCTTTATTCACAGAATTAAAATGTATTTATATATATGTGAAAGAAGCAAGAGCTACGAGCGTTCAGCCACCTTGAAGTGTTGTTAAGGAAATTGTGTAGCAAGTGGACTGCCTCTGGGCCTCTCCGGAGCCAGAGGGAAATGTCATTGCTCTGATACTTCTCCTTGTCTTATTGAGAAGAACGGCGTGGCCAATTCTACGGCCAGTGGCCTATTCCTAGCATTCAATTCTAAAGGGACTGTACGGTGGCTCGTGCCTGTACTCCCAGCACTTTGGGAGGCCGAGGCGGGCAGATCATGGGGTCAAGAGACATAGATCATCCTGACCAAGATGGTGAAACCCCATCTCTACTAAATATACCTGTGGGACGGGGAACCCGAGGCATGTGGGACGCGGAACCCGAGGCATGTGGGACGCGGAACCCGGGGAATGCCGGACGGGGAACCCCGGAGAATGCGTGATGGGGAACCTAGGGCATGTGGGACGCGGAACCCGAGGCATGTGGGACGCGGAACCCGAGGCATGTGGGACACGGAAAGCCGGAGAATGTGGGACGCGGAACCCGAGGCATGTGGGACACGGAAAGCCGGAGAATGCGTGATGGGGAACCTGGGGCATGTGGGACCTGGAACCCGGGGCATGTCGGACGGGAAACACCGTGAATGTGGGACGGGAAACACCGGGAATGTGGGAAGGGGAACACAGGGAACCCGGGACACGTGGGAAGGTGAATCCCGGAGAATGTGGAACGGGGGAACACCGGGAATGTGTGTCAGGTAACCTGGGGGATGTGGGACGCGGAACCCCGGGAATGTGGGACGGGGGGAACCCGGCGCATGTGAGAAGGGGAACCCTGGGGAATGTGGGACGGGGGGAACCCGGCGCATGTGAGAAGGGGAACCCTGGGGAATGTGGGACGGGGAACCCCGGAAATGTGAGATGCGGAACCCCGGAAATGCGGGACGGAGAACTCGGGGAATGCAGGAAGGGGAATCCCGGGAATGTGGGAAGGGGAACCGCGGAAATTTCGGACGTGGAACCCGCGGCATGTGAGACGGGGACTCCACGGAACGTGGGACTCCGAATCCGGGGCATCTGTAATGCAGAAGCCCGGAAATGTTGGATGCGGAACCTGGGCATGTGGGACGGGAAACCCCGGAAATGTGGGACCAGGAACCCTGGAAATCTGGGACGGGAACCCAGGGAATGTGGGAAGGGGAGCCCGGGAAATGCGGGAAAGGGAACACGGGGAATGCGGGACGGCGAACCCGGGGCATGTGGAAAGGGGAACCCGGGGAATGCGGGAAGGGGAACCCCGGAGAATACCTGATGGGGAACCTGGGGCATGTGGGAACAGGAACCCGGGGCATGTGGGACGGGAAACACCGTGAATGTGGGACGGCCAACACCGGGAATGTGGGACAGGGAACACCGGGAATGTGGGACGGGAAACACCGGGAATGTGGGACGGGGAACACCGGGAATGTGGGACGGGGAACACCGGGAATGTGTGATCGGGAACCCGGGGAATGTGGAACGCGGAACCCGGGGCACGTGGGAAGGGGAATCCCGGAGAATGTGGAACGGGGGAATACCGGGAATGTGGGTCGGGTAACTTGGGGAATGTGGGAAGGGGAACACCGGGGGATGTGGGACAGGGAACCCGGGGCATGTGGGACGCGGAACCCCGGGAATTTGGGATGGGGAACCCGGCGCATGTGCGAAGGGGAACCCTGGGGAATGTGGGACGGGGAACCGGAGAAATGCGGGAAGGGGAACCCCGGAAATGCGGGACGGAGAACTCGGGGAATGCAGGAAGGGGAATCCCGGGAATGTGGGATGTGGAACCCAGGGAATGTGGGAAGGAGAACCGCGGAAATTTCGGACGTGGAACCCGCGGCATGTGAGACGGGGACTCCACGGAATGTGGGACTCCGAACCCGGGGCATGTGTAATGCAGAAGCCCGGAAATGTTGGATGCGAAACCTGGGGCATGTGGGACGGGAAACCCCGGAAATGTGGGACCAGGAACCCTGGAAATCTGGGACGGGAACCCAGGGAATGTGGGAAGGGGAGCCCGGGAAATGCGGGAAACGGAACACGGGGAATGCGGGACGGGGAACCCGGGGCATGTGGAAAGGGGAACCCGGGGAATGCGGGAAGGGGAACCCCGGGTATGTGTGACGCGGAACCAGGGGCATGTGGGAAGGGGAACCCTGGAGAATACCTGATGGGGAACCTGGGGCATGTGGGACGGGAAACACCGGGAATGTGGGACGGGGAACACCGGGAATGTGGGATCGGGAACCCGGGGAATGTGGGAAGGGGAACACAGGGAACCCGGGGCACGTGGGAAGGGGAATCCCGGAGAATGTGGAACGGGGGAATACTGGGAATGTGGGTCGGGTAACTTGGGGAATGTGGGAAGGGGAACCCGGGGCATGTGGGACGCGAAACTCCGGGAATTTGGGATGGGGAACCCGGCGCATGTGCGAAGGGGAACCCTGGGGAATGTGGGACCAGGAACCGGAGAAATGCGGGACGGAGAACCCGGGGAATGCAGGAAGGGGAATCCCGGGAATGTGGGATGTGGAACCCAGGGAATGTGGGAAGGGGAACCGCAGAAATTTCGGACGCGGAACCCGCGGCATGTGAGACGGGGACTCCACGGAATGTGGGACTCCGAACCCGGGGCATGTGTAATGCAGAAGCCCGGAAATGTTGGATGCGAAACCTGGGGCATGTGGGACGGGGAACCCCGGAAATGTGGGATGGGAACCCGGGGAATGTGGGAAGGGGAGCCCCGGGAATGTGTGACGGGGAACCCGGGAAATGCGGGACGGGGAACCCGGGGCATGTGGGATGCGGAACCTGGGAAATGTGGGACGGGGAACCCGGGGAATGTGGGACGGGGAGCCACGGGAATGCGGGATGGGAACCCGGGGAATGTGGGACGGTGAGCCCCGGGGAATGTGGGACGGGGTACACGGGGAACCCGGAGCATGTAAGACGGAAACCCGGGGAATGGGAACCCGGGAAATGAGAGACGGGGAGCCCCGGGAATGTGGGATGGAGAACCCGCGGAACGCGGGAAGGGGAACCCCGGGCATTTGGGACACGGAACCCTGGGAATGTGGGACGGGGAACCCAGGAAATGTGGGATGCGGAACCCCGAGAATGTGGGACGGGGAACACGGGGAACCCGTGGCATGTGGGACGGAAAGCCGGGGAATGTGGGAAGGGGAACCCGGGGAATGCGGGATGGTGACCCAGTGAATGCGGGACGCGGAACCCGAGGAATGTGGGACGCCGAACCCTGGGAATGTGGCACGTGGAACCCGGGGAATGCGGGACGGGGAACCCGGGAAATGTGGGAAGGGAAACCCGGGGCATGTGGGACGCAGAACCAGGGGCATGTGCGACGCGGAACCCGGGAATGTGGGACGGGGAACCCGGGGAATACGGGAAGGGGAACCCCGGGAATGTGCGACGCGGGACCCGGGCACGTGACCTGCTTGTCAGGTATTCCTGCTCGCCAAAGGCAACAGCAACAGCCCTTCCTCCTACCGTATTGGTGGAGGGCCGCCTGCCTGTCATTCCAGACCTCACTTTGGGGCTGATATTCGGGCTCAGAAGAATCTCGGTGTCATGTATTTATTTTTTGAGGCAGAGTCTCGCTGTCTCGCCCAGGCTGGAGTGCAATGGCGCCATCTCAGCTCACTGCAACCTCCGCCTCCCGGGTTCAAGTGATTCTCCTGCCTCAGCCTCCCGAGTACCTGGGATTACAGGCACCCGTCACCACGCCCGGCTAATTTTGTATTTTTAGTAGAGATGGGGTCTCTCCGTGTTGGCCAGGCTGGTCTCGAACTCCCGACCTCAGGCGATCCTCCCCTTTCGGCCTCCCAAAGTGCTGGGATGACAGGCCTGAGTCTCCGCGCTCGACCACAATCTCTGTTTTAAATAATGAAGGGGAGCCGATCAGATCCAGAACAACCCCACCCAACGGAAATGACAGCTACTTTCTAAAGCATTTAGATGTTACGAAGCAGATTCGTGCACTTAATAGAAATCGAGCATCATTATCACGTAAGAAACCTCAGGAAGGTTATCTTACCAACTGCAATTGATAAGAGAGTTGTTCTTCCTATAAAAGCACCTAGTATTAAAGAAAGGCTTTGAGGGCTTCATTCATATGCCATTCACTCTTCTTTCCTTTTTGAGGTGAAGTTTTGCTCTCTAGGCCAGGCTGGAGTGCAGTGATGCCATCTCGGCTCACTGCAGCCTCCGCCTCCCGGGTTCCAGGAATTCTCTCACCTCAGCCTCCCAAGTAGCTGGGATTAGACACCCACCATGATGCCTGGCGAATTTTTGTGTTTTTAGAAGAGACGGGGCTTCGTTATGTGGACCAGGCTGATCTCAAACTCCTGACCTCAAATAATCTACCTGCCTCAGCTTCCCAAAGTGCTGGGATTACAGGTTTGAGCCACTGCCCCCGGCCACCATTAATTATATATATAAATGTTTTATATATATATGTTATATATAATTATATATTATTTAATTATTATATAATACATAATATATACTAAAATTTTTATTATGTATTATATATATAATTTTATTGCATTTTAGGTTTGGGGGTACATGTGAAGAACATGTAGGATAGTTGCATAGGTACACACGTAGCAGTGTGATTTGCTGCCTTCCTCCACATTACTTGTATCTGGCATTTCTCCCCATGCTATCTCTTTCCAAGTCCCCACCCCCCACTGTCCCTCCCCTATTTCCCCCAACATACCCCAGTGTGTGATGCTCCCCTCCCTGTGTCCATGTGTTCTCATTGTTCAACACCCACCTATGAGTGAGAACATGTGGTGTTTGATTTTCTGTTCTTTTGTCAGTTTGCTGAGGATGATGGTTTCCAGCTTAGTCCATGTCCCTACAAAGGATACAAACTCTTTTTTGATGGCTGCGTAGTATTCCATGGTGTATATGTGCTACATTTTCCCTGTCCAGTCTACCATCAATGGGCATTTGGGTTGGTTCCAGGTCTTTGCTATTGTAAACTGTGCTGCAGTGAACATTCGCGTGCATGTGTCCTTATACTAGAACGATTTATAGTCCTTTGGGTATATACCAAGTAATGGGATTCCTGGGTCAAATGGAATTTCTATTTCTAGTGTCCTAACTCCAAATACCTCTGACTGGGACCTAATTTAGAAATAGGATCTTTGCAGATGGAATTAAGTCAAGAGGAGGTCATTATAGCAGACCCTTGAGAAGGCCACGTGGGGACAGAGGCACAGAGTGGAGTGCTGCGGCCACAAGCCCAGGGATGCTGGAGCCCCCAGACCTCGGGGAGGCTGGAAGGATCCTCCCTTCCACCCTTACAGATACCCCAGAGTAATGTTCAATCGAACACCTAGGCACCCCATGCTCCAGTCAAGTGAACACATAATATGAACTCTTCCAACGTCGTTCTCAGTATAAGAAGGCCCCTACAGGCAATGACACGTGTCCTTTTAAGAGACAGACGAGGAGACACAGACGCTGAAGGAGAAGTCCGTCCATCCCTAGAGGATCTGGGAGGCAGGAAGCATGTCTGGGTCTTAATCCCTCTCCTGGTGCAGCAACATTCATATCAGATTAGAGCCCATATTGATGACCTCATTTTACCCGAATTACCTCTTTAAACATCCTAACACTCTGAGGTCCTCGGGGTTCAGGCTTTAACCCATGAATTTCAGAGATGACGGTGTTGGAAATAGATACTCAGTGCTGCAAAGAAAATCAGCCCTGAGACAGAGGATCTTTCAGCCACGCAGTTTTTACTTCCCGGACTGCAGGAAGGGGGCCCTCACTAGCCACGTGCCAAGAAAATGTGGAAAGCGGAACGACAGGAATGCGGGACGTGGAACCGGGGGCATGTGGGATGCGGAACCCGGGGAATGTGGGACGGGGAACCCCGGGGCATGTGGGATGCGGAACCCCGGAAATGTGGGACGGGGAACCCGGGGAATGTGGGACGGGGAACCCGGGAAATGTGGGATGAGAAACCCGGGGCATGTGGGACGGAAACCCAGGGAATGTGGGACGGGAACCCGGGGAATGTGGGACGGGAACCCGGGAAATGTGGGACGGGGAACCCGGAGCATGTAAGACGGAAACCCGGGGAATGTGGGAAGGGGAACCCGGGAAATGAGAGACGGGGAGCCCCGGGAATGTGGGATGGAGAACCCGCGGAACGCGGGAAGGGGTACCCCGGGCATTTGGGACACGGAACCCTGGGAATGTGGGACGGGGAACCGGGGGCATGTAGGAAGGGGAACCCAGGAAATGTGGGATGCGGAACCCCGGGAATGTGGGACGGGGAACACGGGGAACCCGTGGCATGTGGGACGGAAACCCAGGGAATGCGGGAAGGGGAACCCGGTGAATGCGGGACGTGGAACCCGGGGAATGTGGGAAGGAGAACCCCGGGAATGTGGGACGCGCAACCCTGGGAATGTGGCACGTGGAACCCGGGGAATGCGGGACGCGGAACCCAGGGAATGTGGGACATGGTACCTGGGGAATGCGGGAAGGGGAATCCAGGGAATGTGGGATACGGAACCCGGGGAATGTGGGGCAGGGAACCCGGATAATGTGGGAAGGGGAACCCCAGAAATTTCGGACGCGGAACCCGCGGCATGTGAGACGGGGACCTCAGGGAACGTGGAACTCTGAACCCTGGGCATGTGGAATGCGGAACCCCGGAAATGTGGGATGAGAAACCCGGAGCATGTGGGACGGAAGCCCCGGAAATCCGGGACAGGGAACTCGGGGAATCTGGGACGGGGAACCCGGGGCATGTGGGACGTAGAACCAGGGGCGTGTGCGACGCGGAATCCCGGGAATGTGGGATGGAGAACCCGGGAATGTGGGAAGGGGAACCCAGGAAATGAGAGACGGGGACCCCCGGGAATGTGGGATGGAGAACCCGCGGAACGTGGGAAGGGGAACCCGGGGCATTTGGGACACGGAACCCTGGGAATGTGGGACGGGGAACCGGGGGCATGTAGGAAGGGGAACTCAGGAAACGTGGGATGCGGAACCCCGAGAATGTGGGACGGGGAACACGGGGAACCCGTGGCATGTGGGACGGAAAGCCGGGGAATGCGGGATGGTGACCCAGTGAATGCGGGACGCGGAACCCGGGGAATGTGAAATGCGGAACCCCGGAAATATGGGATGAGAAACCCGGGGCATGTGGGACGGGGAACCCGGGAAGGGGAACCCCGGGAATGTGGGAAGGGGAACCCGGGGCATGTGGGACGCAGAACCAGGGGCATGTGCGACGCGGAACCCGGGAATGTGGGACGGGGAGCCCCGGGAATGTGCGACGCGGGACCCGGGCACGTGACCTGCTTGTCAGGTATTCCTGCTCGCCAAAGGCAACAGCAACAGCCCTTCCTCCTACCGTATTGGTGGAGGGCCGCCTGCCTGTCATTCCAGACCTCACTTTGGGGCTGATATTCGGGCTCAGAAGAATCTCGGTGTCATTTATTTATTTTTTGAGGCAGAGTCTCGCTGTCTCACCCAGGCTGGAGTGCAATGGCGCCATCTCAGCTCACTGCAACCTCCGCCTCCCGGGTTCAAGTGATTCTCCTGCCTCAGCCTCCCGAGTACCTGGGATTACAGGCACCGGTAACCACGCCCGGCTAATTTTGTATTTTTAGTAGAGACGGTGTTTCTCCGTGTTGGCCAGGCTGGTCTCGAACTCCCGACCTCAGGCGATCCTCCCCTTTCGGCCTCCCAAAGTGCTGGGATGACAGGCCTGAGTCTCCGCGCTCGACCACAATCTCTGTTTTAAATAATGAAGGGGAGCCGATCAGATCCAGAACAACCCCACCCAACGGAAATGACAGCTACTTTCTAAAGAATTTAGATGTTACAAACCAAGTTCATGCACTTAATAGAAATTGAGCATCATTATCACGTAAGAAACCTCAGAAAGGTTATCTTACCAACTGCAATTGATAGGAGAGTTGTTCTTCCTATAAAAGCACCTAGATATTAAAGAAAGGCTTTGAGGGCATCGCTCATATGCTCATACTTTTTATATTTTTAGTAGAGACGGGGTTTCTACTAATTTTTGTATTTTTAGTAGAGATGGGGTTTCACCATATTGGTTAGGCTGGTCTAGAACTCCTGACCTCGTGATCTACCCACCTCAGCCTCCCAAAGTGCTTGGATTACAGGCCTGAGCCACTGCGCCCAGCCATATGTATCTGCTCACTTATGTTTTTGAGACAAGGTCTCACCCGGAGACCCAGGCTGGTATGCAGTGGCGCAGTCACAGCTCCCGGCAGCCTTGCCTTCGGGGCTGAAGCCATCCCCCCACCTTAGCCTCCTGAGTAGCTGGGACTAACTACACTATGTTGCTCAGGTTGGTTTCAAACTCCTGGGCTCAAACCATCCCCCCACCTTACCCTCCCAAAGTGCTAGCATGGCAGGCGTGAGCCACAGTGTCTGGCCTTGTAACAATCATCTGTCACCTATCCTTCTTCTGTCCATCATTTATTATCTATCCATCCGTCCATCTACCCATCAATTCATCCATCTTTCTCACCCATGCATCCATCCATCCATCCACCTACCCATCCATCCACCCATCATCCATCATCTATTCACCCATGTATCCTTCTCACCCTGCATCCATCCATCCATCTATCTACCCATCATCTACCATCTATTCACCCATCCATCCTTCTCACCCATGCATCCATCCATCCACCTACCTACCCATCCATCCATCCATCTCATCCATTCATCATCTATCATCTATTCATCCATCCATCCTTCTCACCCATGCATCCATCCATCTACCCATCCGTCATTTACCATCTATTCACCCATCCATCCTTCTCACCCATCCATCCATCTACCCATCATTTACCATCTATTCACCCATCCATCCTTCTCACCCATGCACCCATCCATCCATCCACCTATCCATCACCCACCATGTATTCACTCATCCATCCTTCTCATCCATGCCTCCATCTATCCATCCATTTATCTCGGTGTGCATTATCTATCTATTCATCCATCCATCAATCTATCCATCCATCCGCCTATGTATCACCCAGCATCTATTCATCCATCCATCCTTCTCATCCTTGCATCCATGTATCCATCCGTCCATCTGTCTACCTACCCACCCATCATGTCCCATTTATCCATCCATCCTTCTCGTCCATGCATGCATCCATCCATCCATCTGCCATCCATCATCCATGCATCTTTCTACCATCTGTTCATCCATCCATCCAGGAGAACGGGAACAGGCCCAGGCCATGCAGCCAGCCAGCCAGCCATCTCTCAATCTAATCTCCCTGTCTCTCTCCCCTCCCCTACTTGCGTGGGTCTCCTGGGCAGGGCTTCTCGGCAGCCTCTGTTCACTGTTCTGAGCTCCAGTTGCCCGCTGTGTGCTCTGCTGGCCCCTGAAGGATCCCTGCCTGGCTGGCCAAGACTCCAGCTCTGCTCTCCCCTCAGGGGCCGGCCTGCTGCTGGTGGAGACACTGCTGGACGAAGAGAAGAGGGAGGCCCGGGTCGCCCTGCTGCAGTCGCTGAACATGCTGGTGCAGGTGGGGGGCAGGGAGCGGAGCCCGGGCGAGTACCAGCGCTTGCTAGAGCAACACGGCTTCTGCCAGGTGCAGGTGGCACACTTGGGGGGTATCCTGGATGCCATGCTGGCCACCAGAGTGGGTCCCTGAAACCCAGGCAGCGTGCTCATGATAGGGACACCCTCCCGCAGGCTGCAGGGGGCCGCCCCATCCCCAGCTGCCACAGGACAGTCACACAGGAACATGCAGTCGTGGGTGAATAAAGAAAGCGAAAGCCTGTGTCTGGCTCCTCTGTGGGGGGTTTGATGAGGGAAGAGGCTGCATCTGGGACGGAGGCTGCATCTGCGGAGGAGGGGAAGGAGGGAAAGGACAGTGCATTTGGGGAGGAGGTGAAGGAGGCTGCATTTGGGGAGGAAGGGAAGGAAGCTGCATTTGGGGAGGAAGGGAAGGAGGGTGCATGTGGGGAGGAAGGGAAGGAGGGTGCATCTGGGGAGGAAGGGAAGGTGGGTGCATCTGGGGAGGAGGTGAAGGAGGCTGCATTTGGGGAGTAACAGAAGGAGGCTGCATCTGGGGAGGAAGGGAAGGAGGGTGCATCTGGGGAGGAAGGGAAGGTGGGTGCATCTGGGGAGGAAGGGAAGGAGGGTGCATCTGGGGAGGAAGGGAAGGAGGGTGCATCTGGGGAGGAAGGGAAGGAGGGTGCATCTGGGGAGGAAAAATTACCACACACTGAACTCCAGCCTGATGTGTTTTTTCAGACTGTTTTGCTCTCATTGCCAAGGCCAGAGAGCAATGGCGCAATCTCGGCTCACCACAACCTCTGCCTCCCGGGTTTAAGCGATTCTCCTGCCTCAGCCTCCCGAGTAGCTGCGATTACAGGCGTCTGCTAACACACCCGCTATTTTTTGTATTTTTAGTACAAACTAGGTTTCACCGCGTTGGCCACGCGGGTCTCAAACTCCTGACCTCAGCTGATTCACCCGCCCCAGCCTCCCAAAGTGCTGGGAGCCACCTCGCCAGGCCTAGTTTATCTGTTTTCTTAAGCACAAAACGGCCGGGTGTGGTGGCTCACGCCTGTAATCCAAGCACTTCGGAGGCCAACGCAGGTGGATCACCTGACGTCAGGAGTTCAAGACCAGCCTGACCAACATGGTGAAACCCCGTCTTTATAAAAAAAACAAGCACCAAACCACCTAGAGATTCTTTCCTGATGTCAGGCAATTGGAAGGTTGGAGCGGCTTGATTTGGGGGTTACTGAGACGTGTGTGACCTCTGAAGAAAACCACACCCACCTGTCCATCTAGCACTTTCAAACAGGCTCCCTGCGCTTACACATTTCCCGCAGGCTTCGCGTTCCTGTAGAAAACAGCCGCAGGGGTTTAGACACCCACGTAACTTATCAAATACATAAGCACAGAGAAATTCTGGCCGGGAACGGTGGCTCACGCCTGTAATCCCAGCAATCTGGGAGCCTGAGGTCGTCAGATGTTCTGAGGTCAGGAGTTTGAGACCACTCTGGCCAACATGGCAAAACCCATCTCTCCTAAAAATACAAAAATCAGCCAGGCGTGGTGGCAGAAACCTGTAATTTCAGTTCTTCAGGGGAGGCTTGAACCCAGAAGCAGAGGTTGCAGCGAGCCGAGATCACGCCACTGCACTCCAGCCTGGGCAACAGGGTGAGACTCCATCTCAAAAAAATTTAAAAAAAAATACAAAGCAGCTCTGCCCCGCCAGGGCCTTTCAGGATGCAGATTCCACGAGGGCATCTGCTTATCAGGCAGCTGTGATCTCTAATGCCCACTGGTCATTTCATAAGAGGCTGGCAGAGAAGGGTGACTGGCAGGTGGCAGGGGAGTGCCTCATTCCTCTGTCCTCGGTTCTTGGAGGGGGCGGGTGGTGAGACACACAGCTCTGCCCCCACTCCACAGCAGATGTTGTGTCTCCCATTCCCAGTTCCCGGGTGCGAGGCCCACCTGGACCCTCCTCTTCTAGGAAGGCCGTGTCTCCGCGTTCGGGAGCAGGTGGCCCCCGAGACCTCCCAGGTCAGGTGCTATTCAGGCCCAGGGAGTGTGTTGTTACCTCCCAGATAGGAAAGGAAAACGCATGAGTGTCCAAGGCTAAGTCCACGTGCAGCCCTGATTAGCGACTAATTCATTCATTCATCCCAATCCCAGTTAGCAATTCATTCATTCATCCATCCCAGTTAGCAATTCATTCATTCACCCCATTTAGGCATTCATTCAGTCACCCCAGTTAGCAATTCATTCATTCACCCCATTTAGGCATTCATTCAGTCACCCCAGTTAGCAATTCATTCATTCACCCCATTTAGGCATTCATTCATTCATCCCAGTTAGTGATTCATTTTCATCCCAGGGAGCAATTCATGCATTCACTCACCCTACTCAGCAATTCATTCATACATTCCAGAAGCATTTGCTGAGCGCATCCTGGGTGCGAGACCCAGGCACCCAGGCATCGTTCAAAGCCGGCAGACAGCACCGCCCTGCCTGTCACAGTCAGCAAGCCCGGGTCAGCTGAGGGCTCAGCACACAGAGGGCCGTCTCAGCGTCTGGACACTGTTAGCAGTCCCCGCCCGCATGGAAGGGACCTTCTTCTCCTGTAAGACAGGATTTGCGGACTTGGAACACCAGGCCTGCAGCCCCGGCCGGAGCACCTGCAAACCAACCTCATCTGGAAACAGCAGCTCCGGCTCCCTGGGCGCTGAGAACCGGCTGATGCTGGGAAATGAACTTGGGCCTCAGCAAACTCCCCACCCCCGCCCAGCCTCTGTCCCCTACTCCAGGGCCCATGCAGGGAACCTGGCTCAGTCTGGGTCCTAGCGGGAGAGCGTCAGGAATGCGCTTGGTCTCCACAGCCCTCCCCACAGCAATCTCCCGAGGTCAGACCTTTCCACGGCTCAGTGACTTCTGAGCCACCGTCTCCCCATCCAGCAGCCACCCCAGCACCCAGAGCCCGTTCCAACCGCCCTCCCCAGAGGTCAGGAATGGCCTCAGGCAGGGCTCACAGCGACACTGCACTAAGGGTTCACCCAAGTCAGGGACCACCGCCTTCCCAGTACACAAGGGACAGGAAAAGCAAGAGCGAGAAAGACAGACATGGAGAGAAAAGAAAGGAGGGGACAAGGAAGCAGAAGGAAAGAAAAAAGACACAGGGAAAGAAGAGGAGGGAGGGACGAAAATGGAAGAAGGAAGGAGACGGGGAGGAAAAAGGGAAAGAGGGAGAGACGGGGAAAGGCAGCAAATGAAAGGAAGGGGAGGGAAGAAGGAAGGGAGGGGCGGGAGAAACGGAGGAAGAGAGAAGAGGAGGAGGCAGGGAGATAGGAAAGAGAAAAAAAGGGGATGGAGGGAGAAACGGGGAAAGGAAGAAAAAGAGAGAAGGGAGAAAAAAAGGGGCAAGAGGGAAAAGTGGAGAAAGGACGGAGGGAGAGAAGAAAAAAAAGAAAAAAGGAGGAGGAGGGACGAAAGACGGAGGCAGGGCGGGAGGGACTAAAGGAAAAGGGAAGGAAGGCCGGGCGCGGGGGCTCAGCCTGTTATCCAGCACTTTGGGAGGCTGAGGAGGGCGCATCCCCTGAGGTCAGAAGTTACAGACCAGCCTGGCCAACATGGTGAAGCCCCGTCTCTACTAAAAATGACAAAAATTAGCCGGGCGTGGTGACACACAACTGTAATCTCAGCTACTCAGGCGGCTGAGACAGGACAGTCGCTTGACCCCGGGAGGTGGAGGTTGCAGTGAGCCGAGATTGAGCCACTGCACTCCAGCCTGGGCCACGGACCCAGACTCCTTCTTAAAAAATCCCGCGGTGACTCAAGCCTGTAATCCCAGCACTTTGGGAGGCCGAGGCGGGTGGATCACAAGGTCAAGAGATCGAGACCATCCTGGTCAAGGTGAAACCCCGTCTTTACTAAAAATACAAAAATTAGCTGGGGATGGTGGCGCGTGCCTGTAGTCCCAGCTCCTCGGGAGGCTGAGGCAGGAGAATTGCCTGAACCCAGGAGGCGGAGGCTGCCGTGAGCCGAGATCGCGTCATTGCACTCCAGCCTGGGTGACAAGAGCGAAACTCTGTCTCCAAATAAATAAATTAAAAAAGGGAGAATAAAAAAGAAAAGAAAAATGGGGGAGACGGGGAAAATCAGAGAGAAAGGGAACAGGGAAATGGAAATAAAGAGGAAAGGGGAAGGAGAAAAACAAAGGAGGGAGAGAGGAAGAAAAAAACAGAAAGGAGGGGAGAAAAGAAAGTAAGGAGGGATGGAGGGAGACAGGAAAGAAAAACAGGGCAGGACAGATGGAGGAAAGGCTCTACGCGGTGGCTCACACTTGTCATCGCTGCACTTTCGGAGGCCAAGGCCGGCAGATCAAGAGGTCAGGAGATCGAGACCAGCCTGACCAAGATGGTGAAATCCCTTCTCCTAAAAACAAAAAAAAAAAGGCGAGAGAAAGACAAAGGAAGAGGAGATGGGAAATGAAAGAAGAAAAGGAGACGGAAGGAAGAAAAGAGAGGAAAAGCAGGGACAGAAAGATGGAAAGAGGGAGAGAGGAAGGAGGGAGGAAAGGAGAACGAGGGAGAAGAGAAAAAGGGGAGACAGAGAAAGGAGGGAGGGAGATGGGAAATGAAAGGAAAAGGGAGGGAAGGAAGGAAAGAGTAAGAGGGAGGGAGGAAAAAGAGAGAGAGAGAGAGAGAGAGACAGAGGGAGAAAAAGGAGGGAGGGAGGAAAAAAATACAGGAAACAGCCAGCCGTGCTGGCTCACGCCTGTAATCCCAGCGCTTTGGGAGGCTGAGGCGGGCGGATCACCTGAGGTCAGAAGTTCCAGACCAGCCTGACCAATATGGTGAAACCCCGTCTTTAAGAATAAAAACATATTTTTTAAAAAAAAGAAAGAAAAAAAAAGGAAAGACGGAGGAAGAAAATAAGGAAAAAAAAAGGAAAGGACGGAGGAAGGAAATAAAAAGAGGGAGCAGAATAGAGAAAAAGGGGAGAAAGAGAAGAGGAAGGGAGATGGGAAATGAAAGAAAGGAAGAGGGAGGGAAGGAAGGAAAGGGAGGGAAAGGGGGGAGGGAGGGAAAGCAGGGAGCGAGACACGGAAAGAGGCAGAAAAAGGAGGAAGGGGAAAAGAGGAAAAGAGCAAAGGCAGGGAGGGAAGGAGGGAGCCAGAAAGGAGAAAACGCAGTAGGAGGAGGCTGAAAAGGCGGGAGGAAGGAGGGAGGGAGGAGGCCGGGAAGAGAGAGGAGGATGGACGGCGAGCCCCAGCCGGGCAGACACAGGGAGACGGCGGGTGCCCCGGGCAGGTGGGCGCGGCCAGGGACCCCCCAGGCAGGCCGCGGAAGGCACCGCGGGGTCAAAGGTCAGAGGCCCAGGGACCCACCCCCGCGCCTCGCACAGGCCGGGCGCGGGGTCCCAGTTCCGAGGCGGGACCGAACCGCCGCAGGCCTCACGCGGGCAGGGGCCAGGGTCTCCCGACGCGCCACCCTGGAGACGGAGGAGTTGGGGGAGGGGGGAGTCCCACCAGCTTGAAGGTCAAGGGTCAAAGGTCGGGGATAGGGGAACCACGTGTAGTGCGTCCCGGCGAGATCGCCGCGGCCTCCGGGAGAAAGCGGACGGCGCTCTCGGAAGTCACCTCCAACGGGATGGACTCCTGACTCCGCAGACGCCCGGCCGCCCACTCGAGCACCGGCAACGCCGTGACCTTCACAAGGTCAAGTTTGCTGCGGACGCCTCTACACATCCCCCCCCAGCCCCTACTGCGCATGGGCGGGGTCGGGCTCCCGGCATACCTCACGGTGCGGGGCGCGGCGTCGCCCGGGAGCGCAGCCAATGGGCGCCGTACGCTGGTGCGCCGGGCGGGCCGCGGCGCGGTACCCGGCAGCCCTCGAGGGCGAGGTACGCAGGCTGAGGGAGGGGCGTGGCCGGGCGACGCAGCCAATGAACGCAGCGCGCGGGGGCGCGGGGCGGGGAGTGGGTGTGGCGTCGGCGTCTTAGCGGCTGCGTGCTGGTAGCCCCATCCTTTCGGTCCCGGCGGCGGCAGGGCTGATCCAGAGACACCTTCCCTTGACTCTCCTCGCCCGCTCTCCGGCTGTCCACCCGCCCCGCTGCCCGCCCCGCCACCATGACGGAACAGGCCATCTCCTTCGCCAAGGACTTCCTCGCCGGAGGCATCGCCGCCGCCATCTCCAAGACGGCCGTGGCCCCGATTGAGCGGGTCAAACTGCTGCTGCAGGTGGGGAGACGCGGGCGCGGCCGCCCCGCGGCGAGGGGATGGGAACCGGGTGGCCTGGCCGGGCGGGTCGAGGTCAGCCGGCCCTGCAGGCAGGCACCGGAAGTGGAAGGCCGCGGGCGCTTTGTCCACGCGCCGCCGGCTTCCGGGGCCTGCGTCACGTGATTGTTGCCGCAGGGGTGGGGACCTCACGCGTGCGCACTGGGCCCGGCGGGAGGGGGAAATGAGGTGCGGGCCGCACGGCGCATGAACGTGAACCTGCGGCGAGCGGGTCTTGACCTTGAACTCGTCATCCTGCAGATTCGCGGGACTCAGACCACCCCTGCTGGCCAGTGTCTGCTCTGCACCCTCCTCCGAGAATGGCGACTCTAAGGCCAACGGGGCGGCGAGCCTGCCGGCAGGTGTCCTGGAATAGCCAGCGTGTGGTTCTGCTGGTTCTTAACCCCTTCGTAGCCCATTTGCGCCATTTTCATGCAGAGCAATGCTTGTTTTTATCTCTTGCATCCAAGTGTCAATAACACTTTGAAGTGTTATTAAAAGTGGCATGATGGGGCCGGGCGTGGTGGCTCACACCTGTAATCCCAGCACTTTGGGAGGCCAAGGCAGGTGGATCACGAGGTCAGGAGTTCAAGGCCACCCTGGCCAACATGGTGAAAGCGCGTATCTATCACGGATTTTAAAAATATTAGCCGGGTGTGGTGGCCGTTGCCTGTAGTCCCAGCTACTCGGGAGGCTGAGGCAGGAGAATGACTTGAACCCGGGACGCGGGGGGGGGGGTTGCCGTGGGCAGAGGTCACGCCACTGCACTCCAGCCTGGCAACAGGGTCAGGCCACGTCTCAAAAAAACAATAAACTGGCATCATGGTTAGGGACATTGCTGATGAGGATGTCATTGGTAGCTGCACTCCCGGTGATACTGGGAATCGGACTAACAGGCTTGGTTCTAGGGACAGGTGTGGTCTGAGCCTGGTGGCTCCCGCCTGCCATCTCAGCGCTTTGAGAGGCCTGCAGAAGATGGCTTGAGGCCAGCCACGGCGACAGAGAAAGACCCCACCTCAAAAAAAAGTTTTTTTGTCATTTAACAAAGCAGAGAGGCCCTGGGGGGAGGATCGCTTGAGCCCAGGAGTTTGCAAATAGCCAGGACAACATAGCAAGACCCCCACTTCTAAAAACGAATTACTTTTTTTTGAGATGGGAGTTTCTTGGGTTTGTAGCCCAGGTTCAAGCGATTCTCTTGGCTCAGCCTCCCGAGAGGCTGGGATTACAGGCCTACACCACTATACCCAGCTAATTTTTGTATTTTTAGTAGAGACGGGGTCTGGCCAGGCTGGTCTCTTAACTCCTGACCTCCAGGTGATCCGCCCACCTCAGCCTCCTAAAGTGCTGGGATTACAGGTGGGAGCCACTGCAGCCAGCCAGGAAAATTTTTTAAGCGTAGCAGCGTGGGGTGTCCCAGCCCTTTGAGAGGCCCAGGGAGGATCATCTGAGCCTCGGTAGCTTGAGACTAGCTTGGGCAATATAGCAACACTCCATCTCTAGAAATAATTTTTTGAGTTAGTGAGGTTTCATGGCTGCGCCCCTGTAGGCCCAGGTACTCAGGAGACTGAGGTAGGAGGATGACAGAATGCAGCATTTGGAGGCTGTGGCAGTGAAGTACGTGAGACCATGTCTCTTTAAAAAACAAACAGAAAACGGTTCAGTGACTCACAACTGTAATCCCAACACTTTAGGAGGCTGAGGAACACCTGCGGTCAGGAGACTGAGGCCAGCCTGACCAACATGGTGAACCCCGTCTCTACTAAAAATACCAAAAATTAGCTGGGAATGGTGGTGGGCACCTGTAGTCCCAGCTACTGGGGAGGCGAGGCAGGAGAATCTCTTGTTGAACTGAGAGGCAGAGATTGCAGTGAGCCGAGATCACGTCACTGCACTCCAGCCTGGCAACTGAGTGAGACTCTGTCTCAAAAAAAAAAGGAGAGAAAGAAAGGGGCTTGTCCAGGTGAAAGGCACAAGGACAACTTACCATTAATGCCCGCATGGGAGTTCTGTCTCCCAACCTCGGGTGATGCGGCCGCCTCGGCCTCCCGGAGTGCTGTGAGTACAGGCGTGAGGCACCACACTCAGTGACCCAGGCTAATTTTTTGATTTGTTTTGTTTTTTTCCCTGAGAGTATTCCAGGTAACACAAGGTAATTTTCTAAACAGGATGCACCCTGGCTCGGTGCCTGGCTCACACCTGTAATCCCTGCACTTCCCCAGCTACTCAGGAGGCTGAGGCAGGAAAATCGCTTGAACCCGGGAGGTGGAGGTTGCAGTGAGTCAAGAACGTGCCATTGCACTTTTGCTTGGGCAGCAAGAGTGAAACTGTCTCAAAAAGGCGGGCATGGTGGTTTACGCCTGTAATCCCAGCATTTTGAGAGGCCGAGGTGGTCGGATCACCTGAGGTCAGGGGTTCCAGACCAGCCTTGCCAACATGGAGAAACCCTGTCTCTACTAAAATACAAAATTAGTCGAGTGTGGTGGTGAGTGCCTTTAATCCCAGCTACTGGGGAGGCTGAGGCAGGAGAATTGCTTGAACCCGGGAGGTGGAGGACGCAGTGAGCCGACATTGCACCATTGCACTGCAGCCTGGGCAACGAGAGCAAAAATTTGTCTCAAAAACAAAAGGGGAGTGCCGTGTCTAGTGGGGCTGTTTCTGGGTGGTTGGGCACAGGAGTGGTCTGAATGCACGAACGCCCTGTGCGCCCCCAGGTCCAGCACGCCAGCAAGCAGATCGCCGCGGACAAGCAGTACAAGGGCATCGTGGACTGCATCGTCCGCATCCCCAAGGAGCAGGGCGTGCTGTCCTTCTGGAGGGGCAACCTGGCCAACGTCATCCGCTACTTCCCCACGCAAGCCCTCAACTTCGCCTTCAAGGATAAGTACAAGCAGATCTTCCTGGGGGGCGTGGACAAGCACACGCAGTTCTGGCGGTACTTTGCGGGCAACCTGGCCTCTGGCGGGGCGGCCGGCGCCACCTCCCTCTGCTTCGTGTACCCCCTGGATTTCGCCAGAACCCGCCTGGCCGCCGACGTGGGCAAGTCGGGCACGGAGCGCG